GATGGTACACAAGCCCACTTTTTATGCCGAACTCCCCAAACACTTTTAATGAAATTCCTATCACAAGCTTCCACTTTAGTTTCCTAAAAAATGACTATATCAGGTTGATGCTTCCTCAAAAAATCCCTAATGACCCCCTCTTCTTCCGGGAGCCCAAACTCCTCACATTCCAACTAACAATCTTCATTGAGAAACATTGCCACCCCTAACCTCCTCTTGTCTCCTATCATAATTAATTATGCTCACCAAGTTCCTTAACTCCCTAGCCCCCCTTCTAACCAAAGCCCCTCCCCGTCTAACACACTCCCCCCTGGAGACACTAAGTTCCTTTCCACTAACCCCCTCCCTTCCATTTAACCTTACTAACCAAAGCCCCATAACTTGAAGCAAATGCTTGAAAAGAGGTACTTCATTTTCCTCAGTAGGACAAGACTCATACTTGCTTAACTCCATCAACCAATGCTCTGTTTCAACCTCACTATCCCTCACTCCACTAAAAACACAACTTCTCCTGGGCATATGATTAACAGAACCTCCCGCTTGAGCATCATTTACTTGGCCTACAGGAATGTTAGCATTATAGGACACAGGATTAATAGTAGAGCCAGTCATCATGGCTCTGGAAATATCCGGCAAGACTCCTTGATCATCCATTCCCCTAACAGAACCATCATGACCCTGACTCCGAGATCCCCCTACCCCATCCCCAAGAGAAGAAAAGATTTGACTAGCAGTGTTACCCCTCTCAGATGCTAGAGCTGTGGGATCTTGCATAATAGTGTCATTGACATGATCCATTGTTTCAGAGACATTCTCGGCCTCCTCATTCTCAACAATGCCTTGTTTTTAAAGAAATTACACAGCTGAAAGTCATACTCTTCTTGATCACCTCCATCGCCTTCTGAACTAGAGACAAACTCAGAGCTCGTCTCAGACCCATACATTTCCAAAGCTTGCAACACTTCATTAGGCTCGAAACATCCATCATCAACCTTGCAACTCAACAAATCAGCATCGTTCACCTCCTCTATCCTTTCATCAACCCACTCCTCCATATTCCCCTCTGTTTTCTGCAGATCCTCGACAGAACCATTCACAAAATCAGCTAATCCTAGTTGAATCTCGTCCCTCGTTAGTCGAAACTGATTAGTCCTCGAAGAATTCATCTCGTGATCCACATCCATAGCCTCTCGCACCCTGGACGACTGCCGACGCTGAGCCTCCTCCTCTCCCCCCAATGGATCGTCTCTCCTCTACAAGCAAATTGGGTCGATCAGCATCATGGATCCTCTCTTCCGAACCATGAACCCCTTTCAATTAACCCACCGGGCCCAAATCAGTTGAATAGACCACATCCACACTTTTGAGGCCCAACATTACAATCCATTTGCTGCTTATAGACTGGCCTAGCTCTTGGAGAATACAACCTGGGCCATTGATTCATAAACCTCTGGCCCTTATCATAAAAATCACTTGGGCCCAAAATAAAAGTTGGCCCACTATGCCCCAGTAGCCCAGTTGGAACCTCCCTAAGCCCCTTATCCCTTGATCTTCCCTCCATCTCAGCCACCGCACGGGAGCTAACCCCAGCCCTTTCGACTTCTGCACCCTTTCGATTTTCCCCTTCAAAGCCACCACGTGTCCACCCTGGCTGTCCCTCCCCTTCGTCTTCCTCGTCCCTGGCGAAAGATTCGCCAGGAGACTGTTGCCGGAAGATCGTTGGTCAAACATCCCCATTCCGTCGCACTGACTTGGACAATGGCTTGAGATGCACCATAGAAGATCGATCTCCCTCCTTGATCTCCATACAAGCTGGCAGAAAACCACAATCAAAGCACTTTCAATCTTACTTCAAATAGATTTTCTAAAGAGACAGTTCTTCTATACACTTCCAACAAACCACCACATCTTTGACCCATGTACTGGAATACCTTTTCATTCCAAAGGGTAAATGGCAAGTCACACACTGCAATCCACCCTCCATAAGAGACAATCACCTCTAGTTTAACATGCTTCACCTCTGACCACTTCTCTAAACTGATCGTCACACCTTTGTTGAAGAACCTTAGTCCCTTGTTTCCAATAAAATTCGCTTCCTCTTTATTACTTACCCAGAACAGAGCTCTATTGATTTGAAATGGCCAAAATGCAATAGATTTCTTTAAATATTTGCTCAATTCCTTTTCAATTTGAGCTCAGCTGCTTGAAAAATCACATCTTACATAGACTACCGCCTGCTCCATATCAACCCTTGAATTGCCCATTCGATTCTCAGTGAAAAAATCAACAAACTTCCTTCCTCTGTTCACTCCTATTTTCCTTTCCCAAGCCTTCTCCTTTGTCCCCTTGCTCGAAACTCCTTCTATAGCTCTAACCCTGGCATCCATACCTATAGTGTTCCTCTTGGGTTCATTGCAAATGACTTTACGAAGCATGGTAACTTTATCCATCCACCCACTACCATTATTCCCCGCCGAAATGATAATGTTGCATTTCTTGACACCTCCTTCCTATTTCGACAAATCAACAAAAGCACCCTTACCATTGGTATACTTCTGTAAACAAAACACAGCAGAGCTGTTATGATATTTGCTTAAGAAAGAGCCTCCTTCGTAAAATTTCTCCACCTGCTGTAGAGCTTGCACAACCCAACTTACACCTCCCAAATCTATCTTCAGAGAGAAACTTTGTAGTCGATTCCTCTCTATAATCTCCACTAGACTCCCTCTAGATCTCTCGTCAACCTGGATAATGATTATCTTCTGTTCGATCCTCAATTCTGAGGATAGCTCCCTATACTCTCTCATCCCTCTCTATGATCCCTACCACTTATTTCTCCTTCTATGCCATCGCAATTCTGTGATACACAGTTGCCAAATATTGATTTTAAATAACTATTTATAATATATATATATATATATGTATGTATAATTTAAAATGATTTAGCAAAAATATGGCACTTTTTGTAGTCGCAAGGTCGCTTTTGAAGTTGCGATTTTGCGCTGAGTTGGCCATATGATAACTTTGCAACTTTGCTGTGAAGTTAAAATTGCAGGTAGAACATGCAAATTCACTCCAGGGTGAAATCACAAGTGTAACTTGCGATTTCTTGCAATTTCAAGTTGGCATTTGGCCAACTCAGCATAAAATCACAACTTGAAGATTTAAATTTAAAAGACATTGTGACTTCAAGTTGCAATTTAAAAAGTGTTGTATTTTGGCAAATAGTTTCAAAATCTCAATATTTTTATAAATAGTTAATTAAAAAACAATATTTAGCTAAAAGACTCTTGGTGTCGCAGCTTGAAGCTTGAGTATCAATGGCACTTCCACGTTAAGCACCATAGATAAAGTAGTGGCATTCAGGCTTTTATTAGGCCTCTTTTAATTTTGAATCTTTCACCATGAAAGTATTTGAACTTGAGAAATGCATTAAACCAACACCAATTATCTATTACTATGCATAGTTGTTAAATTGTGCTAATTGTCGTGTATTATTTTTCATTTTTTTCTTCAATTCGGGAATCCTATTGTGTTGGGGGAAGCTTGTGGGGGAAGCCTATTATTTTGCCCTTTGAATTCAACAACCCAAAGGTCAAGTCAAAAAGTCAAAAGGATAACATGGTCATTTTGCTTGTACTACAATATTTTATAACACATCTTTTCGTAAAAAGTCAACAAGTTGTCCCAAACATACATATATTTTTTCTCTACTTTTTTAGTCAAAAAGTTATAAAGTACACTTATATAGCACATCCCAAACAATCACAAAGTGTGAGTACACTAATAAAAAATACAAATATTTTACGACAAGTAAAAATTTTACTTAAAAGGTGCCAAAAAGAAAGGTGATACCCCAAAACCTTATGCTTCTTGTGTTGATGGCTTATCTTGGGTAAATTTGGTCTTATAAGGGTCTAGGGTCTCAGGTAGTATTAGGAATCCTTTATGTGTTTTAAGTTATTATCTGATTTTTGACCCTTAAGATGCAATATGGTAGAGAAAGTTGGAGCAGAATTTGCTGCAGATGTCTTTTAAGCTATTAGTTGCTTTAACATTTCAAATTATTCATGATGGTATATGTATGCTGATTTTGGTGCCAATAATCCCAAATGTATTAGTGAGAATCATCCTGTTGCTTGACTAGACCATCATTTGTTGGCCAATATATGTCATGTTATGGAACTTGATGAAACAATGGCCTAAATTTGTATAATAGCCTGCCAATTTTGCATAAAAAATGGTGAAACCCCATCTCTCTCTCTCTCTCTCTCTCTCTTATTTTTTATTTAAAGAACTACACCTAGTTTAGTCCTCATTTGATGGGGGGTCTGGGAGGGGTAAATTGGGTACAAACCTAACCTTTGGCATAATTTGCACAAAGTGGCTGCCCTCAAGTATGAACCCACAAACCTCAAGGTTAATAGGCCAAATTTGAACCACTAAACCATTGGCTTCCTATGCACATACATGTCTTTGTATGTAAAATGTAAATGAAATTTATTGGCCATGTGAAACTTGAAATCCTAATTTTTCAATTTAATAATGAAGCATGATCAATATTTTCTGGAGGACTGATGGGGGAATATGCAAAAACTTATAAGGTCACAGTATGCTATGGGTTCAGGGTTTGATCTTGATTAACTAGTAGCATTAAAGGATCTTGGCATATTAGGAATGTTCTTCATTTCAGTTTGTTTATCAACCAGAAAAAATTGAATTTGTTTTTACATTACTTTTCTTCTACAAATATCTATTTAAATTCCCATGATGAATTCTTCAAGTACTAGGCAGAAAGATGACTTGATGCCTATAAACTGAGATAGATATGACATGGTGAAATGTTATATGCTGCAGAAATTTTTGTGTCTCATGTAAATCAGGTCTATATTTAGGCCTCCTCTCTCTCTCTCTCTCTCTCTCTCTCTCTCTCTCTCTCTCTCTCCCTCTCTCTCTCTCTCTCTCTCTCATATCCCCTGGTTTTCCTTTCAAACTTGCAGCATCATTGTCGATGTTGTGGTCGGACTTTATGTGCTGAACATTCATCAAATCAAATGGTATGAGCTATGTAGAATTGATATATATGTCTAAACTCAGTTATATAACTTATTTTATGTATCAAAAAAAGGAAAAGAAAATCAGTTAATTTCATAGTAGTGCTGCCAGTGGATGGATGTTAATTATGCAATCTTCTGTTTTCTATTTCTGTTGCTGTTTCAGGCCTTACCACAATTCGGTATTCACTCGTGTGTCAGAGTTTGCTCTGACTGTTTTAATGATGCTTCTGGGTAATTGCTTCCTACTTTTACTTTATAGTAACTACAATACATTTTACAAATCTCTCTTTGCTTTCTTATTAGTGAAATCTGAGTGGAAACCAAAACCGATTGGTGCGATGGTTACACATTTTGTTACTTATAGATGAAATGAGATGTGCTCAGGTTCTTTCTACAACTGTGTGTTGAATGAATAATGAGTTGTTGAATTCTAGATATATTGCTCAGTACGCTTTTTTGTTATGGTCGTTGCGGAGGAAACTAGGCTGCATGTGGTGAATGAAATGTCAATATTGACTACCATTTCAAAGATCCTATATACAGAGATGTTGATAAATATATTGGCTGAGTTCAAATATCGAAATTGCAATGAATGAACAAATGATGGATAACCATAACAAACCAAGTCCTGTGTCCCAATTAGGTTAGGGTCAGCTACATGAATCATTTTTTGCCATCCTACTCTACCAAGGGTTATATGAATCCTTTAGCAGGCTTGGGGGTGCTCAAGCAGTCCAGCTGCTCCTTGAAGGCATGAGAGAGGTAGTTTCCTACCCAGTTTTGGCAACTGGACTCCAAATCCTTGTTGCCCTAGGCTAATTTGGAGCTAGTGTTATAGTACTCCTTTGTAACTCTATTATTTGTGCCTGAGAGTGATTGAGGCAAGTATTGATGAGTTCAATAGAGAGGGTTTGTGAGATTGAGCATGAGAGACTATTGTAATTCCTTTAACGAAGATCATAGTGAAACTGTAGTGACTCTGTTGACATGACCCATATTTGGGGTGAACCACATAAATCTTTGTGTGTTGCTTATGTGTGTGTTTGATCTACTTGCGTTCTCAAATCGTTGTCTGTGTGTGTATGATTGCTTAGGTTCTAGAGGTTTTGTGATTATTCCACAAGATGCAAGTGTAACTACTAAGAAGGCTACTTCATGATAGTGTACTTCAGTCTAAGTTAATTAAGGATGTTACTGATGAGTGAACAAACATTGTAGAAATAGAAAATTACAAATTACAAAACGAATCTCGTAACTAATAAAATTATAACTTCAACCCAACAGACATAAAACCCTATAAAAAATTACATATGCTCTGCATGCGCTTATGATTTCTGTGTCTTAGACTATCACATTTGGTAGATAGCTTGATATACATTGTTGGGTCCATTTCCAAACAGCTTAGGCTTTGGGGGAAATTGGTAACTTAACATGATATCAGAACTCTGGTTGAAAGAGGTCTTGGGTTCAAGTCTCTCCGTTAGTATTTGGTATCATGTCCCCATTTGGTTTCTTCCTCTCTGTTGGGTTGTTTGCTTCCCCTTCTGTTTGGTTCTCTGTTTGTCTCTTCATGTGTAAGACGAGGCTGCCCGTGAGGGAGGGTATTTGATAGCTAGACATTGTTGGGCCCATTTCCTAACAGCTTAGGCTTTTGGGAAAATTGGTAACTTAACAACATCATTTATCCTTTCTTTAGCAAGTGAAGACTACATGAATCAAGGGGCTGCATTATTGGAAGATGTTAAAGCATATAACTACATGTGTTGAGCTTTTGTGTTGTTGGTGATTTATTTTCTTACATCTTGTTTGAATGTTTCACTGACTTTGTGGTTTAGGGATCTTGAAGGATTTTTCTTTTTTCTTTTTTAACTTTACCTTACTCTTTTTTGTAATCTTAAAAAGTAATGGTATCATAAAGAAGTTAATTCTTATTTATTTCTTGATTTTGTTTTCGGTAAAGATTGAGGAAAGATGATGCACCAGCTTCTTTGGATGGAGTTAATCTTGTTACAGATACAGTTTCAAGATTAGACGTTAGTGCAGTTCCAGATTCCAATCCCAAACCAACTGCTGAGCAAATTCCCATTTTAGGTATTGTAGAGTGCAAGTGTGGAATGCCTTTATGCATTTGTGAAGCTCCAGTTCCATTCAGGGATGCAGTAACCTTGCCGGTAGGAATGTTTTGGTTTTAAAAATGCATTTTCAATGAATTACATGGACCTCACAGACTTTATTTATGTTTCTTTAGAACAAAAGTACAACAACTTCTACAGCTCAGTCAAACCCAAAACCGAAGAAGACAGACACGTCTCTGAAGAATAGAGGTTCCACGTCGAACAACAAGCAGTTGTATGTTTCATCCGAGTTTTTCAGTTTACATTTTGTGTTCAGTCTGACATAAGATGACATAAAACTGGAGTTCTAGATATGATTCAGCTGTAAGTGGTCTGCATTTTTTAGTAAGACTTGTCATTTTCTTCTTGGTTGCTGGAGGTTGTGGACTATGGAGCCCTAATCTTTCTGCCCTTGTGATATGCACTTGGTATTGTTTAGGTTTAAAAACCAAATTGACTTAAGCTGATTCTCGCATATGAATTTCAAAGAATGGTTTTTCAATTTGTACAGCACTTGGTTCAATATCCATGTGTTCTACTGTCTTGATCCATTCAATGTCTAAATTTCTTTCTTAATCTTCACTTATCCTCACTCATTTTATCACCCAAGGAGAAGGAGAAAAGGAAAAAAAAATGGAATTTACATGGGCTCGTGTATGTATTTTGGTACTTTTGTTTTGTTTAGAGGCTATATTTCGCTGAAGTAATATTTCTTCTGAATCTGTTTAGATTGTGCAATTATGTGCTGCGGTTTCAATGTCAAATTCTGCTTGGTTACACTATTTGAAAATTTTGTAGTTATTAAATTTGTGTAAAACTTTGCAGTACGACTTTCAATCTTGGTCAGGTGACCACGAGTAGTTTGGAAAAATCTCAAATGGATTATGAAGTTAATGGAGAGGTATGAAACCCCTGGGTACTTCAGAGTGGTAAATACAATGATATTTTGTTTTGGTTTGAAAAGGTTAGCTCTTGAATGCCTCTATTGTATGAATTGTTGCTTAGGGTTTAAGAGAGGCAATAAAGAATGGTGACACTTTAGCTGTCAAGGAGCTTCTGAGTAAAGTACTTGTTCTTTCTTTTATTACTATTATTATCGTTGTTATTTTTGTTATTGTGGTTATGACAGCAATTATTGCCAAAGCAATCGAGTCTTTTGCCAAAACAATTTCAGTGCTTTGATCAGTTGCGTGCACAACTGATCAAAGCAGTCAAAGCAGTGATTGCTTTGGCAGTAGCCATGATGTGTTTATAAATTAAGCTTGGTCAGATACTGATCATCTTCTTGTTAATATTCTTGTTAACAATCTGACGCATTACCAAATTGGCAGGGTGTGGATGCAAATTACTGTGACAAACAAGGATTGTCGTTGTTACATCTGGTAGACTCTCTCTCTCATGTGCATGCTATTACATTCTGATTTTTTTTTTTTTCTGTTAATTTCTTTTGAGAAGGTATGATTTTCTGACTGTATTGATTGGATGTAGGCAGCACTTTTTAATCGAACTGATATAGCTTTTGCTCTTATGGAATATGGAGCTAGCTTGGATCACAGGAATTTACAGGGTAATTAATTCCATGTCCGACTAAATTGTCCAGTGTCCAGGTTGATTAATTTATGGATGGAAATGTCTCAGACAAGCTTTTGTAGAGTATAATATATTATTTGACTCACCTTTCCTGGGTAGTGGTCATTGCCTCCTGAATGTTAAGGGAATGCAAATTAGTGCTGTCGTTTACCAAACAACTACTTTCTCTATTTCTACACACAAGACTTTCTGAATAATGCTAGTTCATGAATTTGAGGGAATAATGTTGTTACATTGTGGTATAGACTCTTCCTCATTCCTAGTTTAGTTTAGAGCATGCAAGAGTTGTAGTCAGTGGTGGTTAGAAGTCCATTTGATGGAACTGACTGATTAGGTCTTTTTCAGGGGAAACACCACTGGATTGTGCTCCTGCTACATTGCAAAACAAGATGCGAAAGAAGATGGAAGAGAGTGAGCACTTGAGCCCACACCACATCATCTGAATGCTAAACTATTCCAACTTGTTTGCTTCCTTGAAAAATGGCGAATTTGAATCCTACTTTTTTAGAGTTTTGTAATAAATTGACATCCTCGTATTTGGGCAAATCATGGAGAATGTGGGAAGATTCTCTAGCCAAGGCATTTAAAATCTCACCTGTCACAATTGATAAAGTCTATTACAGAATTACCTGTTCATCTAACATTGTAAAGAACAGGTGTGAGTGTATGTTTGTGTCATTTTCTTTGGTCCCATATTGTTGTGTTGTCATACTATATGAGACGGTGGATTGTGATCTGGCTGCATACCCAAAATGGGGTTATGGTCAGCTGGCTATGGACGGATAAAAATTTGGGTGGTGCCGGATTGCTTTTTTTTTTTGATTCATGGATTGCTTTTAACATGTGTGTTCAGATGAACTAAACTCATTGAATTCATTTTCTATAAGCACTGGTAGATGTGGATTCCTTACGGAGTACACTCGTATTGGTATCCAGTGATTAGGCATTGCGATCAGTCAGTACACCTTCTCTAACCGTTATCTTCCGAAAATTGGTAAATAACTTGCAAGTATATTACAAAGTAACGATTATTATACCCAAGCATAATATAAAATTATTTTAGTCAAAATATATAAATTGTTTACATCTATTTCAGACAACATAAATATGTTTCAGAAATCATAAATATATGATGACATACATAATGTATAATCATACTTATGGGTAGTGTATAGCAGGTCACCAAAGTGACAATAGATTAGAGAATCACATATCAACAGAGTGACAACAGATTAGAAGGTCAATAGTTATTTAAATCCTTTAAGACACAACATATCCATAGTTATAATATATCAAACCATCATCAAAAATCATAATTTATAAACACTGGTTTGCTTTTTTATACAAATAGGGTTCAATAAATAATACATTAAAAATAATAGGGTAAATTATATTGATACTCCTGAGGTTTATGTTTATTACAATTCTTCTCTTACCTTTTGAAAATTACATTCATTTTCTGAGATTTAAAGTTTCATTACAAATTGTCTCTTAGGATTTAAAATTTCATAACTGTTCTCCCTTACCGTAATGATCATTATACATAAAATTAAATTAATAGGGAGGTTAGTGTAATTTTTCAAATACGAGACGAAAAATTATAATAAATATAAACGTCAAGGGTATCAGTGTAATTTATCCAAATAATAACATAGTTGCGAAGCATGATTTAATATAAAAAAAAAGTTTTAGTTTGTGGTGTCCCAAAATAATGTCATTTTGGACAAACTAAAAAGGAAAGGAAAAATAAAAAAATAAAAAAACCATCGCCCCTTGACAACCTGGCCGACAAACAAACCTTCTCTAGCTACAACAGCCATCCCAAATCCTTTCTCCCCTCAATCTTTCTTCATTTTCCTCTTTATTCTTCTTCTTCATCCTCCTTTCTCTCTCTAAACTTTCTCTCTCTAAAACCTACCTCATTTCAGCGAGCTTCTATTCACACAGACCACTTCTCCTCTCCTCACACACTTAATGATATTTTTTTCAATACATTTTCATCCTAAAATAAAATTATCAAAATATTTTTTTCAATACACAACACCACCGCCGCCGCAGCTTCCACCCCTTCGTGACCCTCAATTCTGCACATCCACACAAAGAGAGAGAGAGAGGAGAACCGAAATCTGAAAGAAGACTCGTGTTCTTACCATTCGGCTACCAGTATCGAAAGAATCGCCTCCATTCGGAAATCAACCATCGAACCAATGAATTTGGTTCGACCATCAACATTCGAACAAAATATATTAGTTCAACTATCAACCTCCAAAACCCCATTTTCGCGACTCTGAGAGAGAGATCGAAGGAATGAGGTGGGGGTCGCGGTAGTGTCGTCGGTGGGTGGAGGAAGGGGTGAGGATGGCGACTGGAAGTGAAAAGGAACGGTGGTGTTGCGTCGTCGCCGGCGAGGTGCTTGCTGGTGTGGAAGGTGTGTGGATTGGGAGTGTTGGAAAGTTGTGTGTATGAGAATATAATTGGAATAAAAGTGTGTGTAATAAGTAAATTTTTTTTTTTTTTTTTAAGGTGTGTGAACTGAGAAGTATGTGTAAAAAGTGGAATAAGTGTGTTCAAATAGAAGCTCCCCTCATTTCATATATATATATATAGATAGATCAATGGCCCTGTTTGGTAGGGCTTATTTTCAGCTTATTTCAACTTTTAGCTTAATTTAAGCTATTTTGATATTTTTGGTTCAGCTTAACAATACAGCTTATAACTTTTTATAAGTCAAAAATCAACTTATTCTTTGAGTGGGGGAGGAGAAGCTTAATTTATAAGTCAAAAATCAGCTTATGTTCACAGTTATAAGTTATAAGTTATAAGCTGTTAGGTTATAAGTTATAATCAGCTTCTCACAGCTCTACTAAACGGGGCCAATGACGCAAACGGTGGACACCTCTAACTTTTGCAAGAGGTCTTGCACAAATTGAAATTTGGCAAATTCTATTTTCATTAATTACACTTTACATTTTAAACTTCATAGTAATTATATTTTGACTCAAATCACATATAACACCATAAAATAAATTCTAATTTCCCCAATTGTAATTAAATAATACTAATATAAAATTTAAAAGTAATTAAATTTCTGGATCGTTACAGCATTATTGGAACCAAGTTAACCGTCCGGCTTCAAGTTATAAGGTGGAATTTTAAAATCTGAGGGCCTATCAGCAAGAAAATACTTTCTAGTGTTTGGCACAAGGGATAGTCTATAGACTATTAAGAAAGGATGGAGGAAGAAAAGAGAACCGAGGGAATAAAATTAAGAAAAGCTATGGTTCCAACTCTTTTCGTTAGCTCATCAACTCAACTCATCCAATTATAGAAACGTTAGCCTATTTGGTAACATTTATATTTATAATTTTTTATTTATATTTACAAAAAATTTCAAACTGTAAATAAAAACATATTTGGTATTGATTTTTATTTTTAAAAACTTGTAAATGATTTGCAAAATTTACTAAATTTTTGTAAATTCAAAAAAATTACTTTATTTGTTTGTTTGATAATCATTTTATTTTCAGTTTTCAGTTTATATTTATAAAAATTTTAAAAACTATAATAAAAACTTGTTTGATAATTTTTTTTGTTTATAAGGGCCTGTTTGGTAATCATTTTGTTTTCAGTTTTCAGTTTATATTTACAAAAAATTTAAAAACTGTACTAAAAACTTGTTTGGTAAATTTTTGATTTATAATATTAGTTCTCAGTTTATAAATTTGACTCAAAAAATGTAAACTGAAAAAAGGTGTTTACTTTGGTTTATTAATGTGGCACTGTGGCGAAAGTTGCTGTATTATGACCCTGGTTCAAATCTGCGGAGCACCCGAATTGAATTTATTTTCTCTCAATGGTAAAATAAAAGTTGTATCTCATCTTCCTCCACTTCATTCATGTTGACCGAAACTTCACAAATCAGGTTGGTGTCTCTCTTCTCTCTCTCCCCTCTCTTCTCTCTTTGTCTCTCCTCTCTTCTCTGTGTTCACAGAGCTTGTTCTCTATGTTCATCGAGCTTCAAATTTATTTTTTTTTTCTAAAACATTATGTTGCAAACATGCAGATCTTTGTAGATCTGTCAACAAATCGATCTCAGGTCTCTCTCTTCTCTCTCTCTCCCCTCTCTTCTCTATTTTCTGTTTCATCGAGCTGCCATGGTGGTTTTTTTCTTTTCCTTTTTTTTCTGAAACAACAAATCTGTTCTGCAGATCTTTTGCAAAATTTCCGAACCACATTGATCTCACTCTCAGGTCAGTCTCTCTTTCTCTGTTTTGCAAAATTTTCGAACCAGAAATCTGTTCTGCAAATCTGTTCTGCCATGGTTGTTTGTAGATCTATGCTACATTTTGTAGATCTGTACTACATTTTGTATATTTGTCCTATAATTTGCAAAATTTTCGAACCAGAAATCTGTTTTGCAGATTTTTTTGTTTTGTTTATAAATCTATTATGGGGGAGGTTCTGCAGATTTATTTTTTTTTTTTTTTTTTTTTTTTTTTTTTTGTAGATCTGTGCTACGTGTTCTTCACTTTAAATTTGGAGTACATGATAAGGAAATCTGTTAGGCCTTTTATAACTGTTCTTCACTGTAATGATATTATAACTGTTCTTCACTTTAAATTGTAATGATACTATCTGTTCTTCAGTTTATATTATAACTGTACATGATAAGGAAATCTGTTAGGCCTCTTGTAAGGAAATCTGTTCTTCACTTTAAATTGTAATGATATTATAACTGTTAGGCCTCTTGTTCTTTAATGCCTCTTGTTTAATGATATTATAAATATACATATTTAGGCCTCTTCTATAGCCATTCATTCATCCAATTACAAAATTCCATCCAATACTGATATCAAAACATACCAACATCAGTTTCCCTATAAGTGTCCATCCTTCTATAATCTTCAAATTTAGTTAAACAACTAATTGGACCAAGAACTAAACAAGTTTATTTTCAATACTGATAAAACAATAATGCAAAGCCCAAAGATCTATTTCTCCGTTTAAAAATATTTCACATCACAACAATTTCATTGTGAAACACTGATCTCCACAAAGTTACTACTCAAGTAATTCGACCTTGTTTGAACTCTTGAATCTCAGTGCTGCACACTGACACACACATAGAAGCATCCAATACACGACTATATTTTCCCTGTGCTTCACCTAAAACTTCAATTAGGTTGTAAAAACTGTTCTTTGCAATGTATCTGATGAATCAAATTATTGTCAGAGTTTAAACTCTAGTTACCTCAATGCTATGTGCACAGAGACGTCAAAATGAATGCTTATGCACCACTCAGTTGTCCTTAAGCTTCAACTAAACTTCCTAGTATTCACTCTAATTCATATATATAGCTATCTCTCCTTAATTTTTTATAGTCCTAGGAGGTCTCTCAACCTCTTAGCCTGTAGAATTTTTGATTGTACTACATCATTAGTATGATATTTTCCTCGTCTAAATAAACTAACAGGATATTTAACTGGTGCTTGTTCTTCAATGCCTCTTCATTTTATTTGACTTACATTTTTTTGAAAATTGTTTATCTATGAATAAATATACATATTTAGGCAATGGAAACAACAGTACCCAATGATCTCCCCATTGATGATGATGATGTTGTCGAAGTTGGTAAAGGAAACAGTGGTCCATGGCCTCAGGCAAATAAGGCTTTTTTCATTACCCTCATGGATGAAGAGGTGAAAACCAAGAGTTATAAAATAACTGGGACATTCACTAAACAAGCTTAGAACAGGTTGAGAGATCAAATGAACGCAAAAACCAAATACCAGTATAATGCAGACCAGCTTCGGAACAAATACATTCAATTGCATATTATGT